CTGCCACCGCTACGCTGGAAACTAGGCCGAGTGCAGTCTACTGTGCTTGGGAAGGATGGACTTGTACGGGTGGTGCACCTCCGCACTGCAAATGGAACATGTTGCAGGCCAATACACAAGTTGGCAATTCTTCCGGTGGGTTGAAAGCAGTCCTTTCAACGGGGCCGGGATGTTCGGTCAAACTCCTTTAAGGAACAAGTATTCAAATGACCCTCGTAAAATAGAGAGCCTACGCTCACTTTTTGTATTTACTCTCACCATAATTGTACTAAATTCACCACTGTATTCTCTCTCTTATGCCCAGTACTCAAGCACTAAGATTTTTAATAAATAGTTATTCCCTAATACTCAACTGGATCGATCGACTTTTCTCTTTCTTGTATAGACTTTGATTCGTTTGCAGAAAAAACTAACACACCCCCATCCGTGAATTAACATTAATGCGGAAAACGCTCCGTGTACAAACAGCCATGTCTGTCTGTCCGTCGGTCTGGATGAGCACCTAAGTCTCAGAGACTATAAGAGCTAGATCAACCAAATTTGTGATATCAGTCTATTACAAGTATAATTCCAAATTTTGGCCCAACACCTTCCGATCCCACAAAAGTCGAAAATCTGTGGCATCCTAAATTTTAAAAATACGATAGTACCGAAAACGCAGAATCAGAGAAATTGAGGATATCTAGCAGAAATTGCAAGTTCTAAGGATGGGTATGTGATCTATTTTAACATTCATACAACCCAATTTTTGTGCAAAGTAGAAAATCACATCCGTACACTGCTATTAAACTTCCAGCAGGCAAGGTGTATGTTATAATGTATGTATATGTATATATGTATATTTAATTTATTGTTAATTAGATATATCGTAGGTAGCGATATTTTTGCGCTGTTGGGAGACTTTGCAATCGGTCGAGAAAATCAATAAGTGTTATGAAGACCTATAAACCGAAATTTTTTGTGTCTTTTATATATTAAACAGGCCGGAAAAAACCCACCAGCTGAACCCTCCACTGCAGACACTGCATTATCCCGGGAAAGGGTAATGCACTGTCGCTTGCTTTGTCCGGGGTTATGCCGTGTCTAGCTAAGGCAATGGTCCAGCGTCTTCCCGATCTAAAGTCGGGGAAACTGAGCCAGGGCCAAGGCTAGAGGTGCCTGGCCAGGCCAGGCATAAAACGCTTGGGGGCGGTCCGCCCGAAAAATATTAACTGGTAAGGACCTTCGGGCCAGTCATGGAGGCTGATAGAGATCAAGCACGGGTTGGGATGTCAACCCAAACGTCGGTGGAAAGCGTGACTGCTACCAGCGGGCACGGTGAGAATCAATCCTCTATGCGTATCGCCAGCGGACACACCTCGGGCACGGCGGGAGCAGGCCATGTCAGTTGCAATACTTCTGCTACAAAAACGACGCGTTGCAGGGTGAGACGCGCGGGTGCCGCTGTCGACACAGGATCGGACCCGGAGAGCGTCTATCCATTAGCAAGGCAGAAGAGGAAAGCCTTCTCCGGGTACCAGATACCAGCTCCCTGAGTAGGGAAGGGCCGAAGCGTTCCAGGGAGGGGATGAAGGCAAAAGCTCAGTATAAGGCGGCCCTCAAGTTACTGAGCCGGCTCCAGGGCAACGCGGATATCTTCCAATAGGAGCAATCCAAGCTAGCCTGGGCTGAGAAACAGGTACAGGAGGGCCGCAAACGCTACGCGCAGCTGCCCCAGATGAAGGCAGTAAACGGTGGATTCGCTAACAAGGTGGAACGCCCGATCGAGAGTGCTGCCAAAGACGCTCCCGCAAGCAAGCGGCAATGCGGGCCCAAGGTGGCCACCCCCCAGCCGAAGACGAGGATGCCTAGACAGAAGGCAATGAGCGAAGTGTCCAAGAGATATATCATTGTGGCTTTGATCGACCGCAGCGACGGGACTCTTCGAGTCGCTCTTCTCGCGAATGGAGGAGGACCACAGCGCTCCCATGCCCACTTTCGATGGAGCGGGATGGCTGAACGGGGTCAAGATCCTCAAGTGCAATGACGACCCAATGCGGCAGTGGCTGGTGCAGAAGCTGGAGGTGGTAGACAGGGAGTTGATCCCGTCTATACCAAAGGCGAAGGTGCTCTTCCCCATTGCTGTCCAAGAATCCGGTCGTGCCAACGGCTGACTGCAAGGTTCTACATGGGTTACCCCATTACCCAACGAGGGGGGCCAGCATGCGATCCTCCAGATCAGCAAGGAGGCAGAGGATATTCTGTATCCCAAGTTCGGGAAGATGGCGTGGGTCGTAGGTAGAGTATACCTATGGTTGAAAAAGCGCCACCCCGAGGATAAAGATGCGCACACCCTTCAGACAAGAGGGGTCCAAAGACCCCTTGCCTTGTGCTGGACGACTCGGAGGAAGAGGAGGACGGTGACCTGACAATCATATTCAACCAGTCGTGCGAGGTTGAGTTAGCCACCCATGACGTTAAGGGTGCTGCAGCTCGACCTCCATAAGAGCAAAATAGCGTCGGCGGAGCTCCTCATTGCCATGGAACAAGGGCCCGCTGATACAGCTTTAGTCCAGGAGCCGTGGATTGCGTCAGGCAACTCTGTGGCCGGACTAAAGTCCTCAAATTACATCCTTCTCTACTCAACATCGGTAACCAGGAACAGAACCGCCGTACTCGTACGGAAGGGAATCCATGCTTATCTTATGTCTCATTACGACACGGATGACCTGACGGTATTGTTGCTGCAGAGCGAGGAAAAGCGCCTTATGGCAGCTTCCTGTTACATGGCACACGACAGGCCCGCATCACCGGAAGAGCTTAGGAGTCTGGTGACCGAAGCCGGATCCAAAAATCTTCAACTTCTCATTGGCGCAGACGCCAACGCCCATCACAATGTGTGGGGAAGAGTTGAGTCACTCCTTGACTTTATATTATCTACTAACTTAAACGTAGCAAACGTGGGGGAGGAACACACCTTCGTAGGTCCCATCTCATCAAACGTGCTAGGCCTAACTCTTGTCACGGGAAAGAGTACTTTGGTATCTGGCTGGAGAGTCCTCGAAAGACCATCCTTCTCAGACCATAAGTACATTCAGTTCAAGTACAAATTCGAACATTCTTCGAAGATAACAGTCTATAGAAGCTCGCGAATCCGGGCTCAGTGAAATCCGCGGAAGATATAAAGAAGTCCCTAAACACCCTACCCAATGAGTTACTGAACGCCTACCACACATCGTGCAAGCCCTCGAGAACAAAGAAGAAGTCCAAGCCACTCTGGTGGAACCGGGATCTTTCTTTCCAAAGGAAAAACCTCAAGGAACTTTTTAAAATCGCCAAACAAGCGAACGAAGATATTGTCAATGAGGAATATAAAATCCTACTTAGGAGCTACAAAAGGAAATACTTAAGGCACAAAGGAACTCGCGGAGGAACTTCTTCTCCAACATCGAGAAAGTGCAGCTAGGCTCCGGAAGCTACTTTCAAAGCAGTCCACAGTACAGAGTCAATTAAAACTAGATAACGGACAGTGGACAGAGGGCAGTAAAGAAGCCCTAACAGCACTAATGGAGGCGCATTTCCCTGGATGCACCGAGGTCACTGACGCCAAAGAGCATCAGGACCTAGGAACCGAGGAACAACACCCCCCAATAGGTCTGTTAACCATTAAGAGAATCCACTGGGCCATAGACTCCTTCCGGGGCCTAAAAGCACCAGGACTGGACGGGATATTCCCAGCCATGATGCAGTTGACCAAAGAGGTTTTCACCCTATGGCTCTCAGCAATATACTCAGCATGCTGAGTCAGCATGTCTAAGTATGGGCTATATCCCTATCCAATGGAGAAGCTCGAGAGTTGTCTTCCTCCCAAAAGCAGGAAAGTGTAGCCACGTGAGTCCCAAGTATTACAGACCGATAAGCCTTACCTCCACTGAAAAACACTGAAAAAGCTGTTGGATTTACACATCCGGAATGAGGGGGGACTGATGTCAACAAACCAACATGCCTACACCAAAGGGAAATCGGTGGAGACGGCACTACACTCGTTAGTAGCCACCATCGAGAGCGCCCTTCACAATAAAAAGTATGCACTGGGAGCATATGTTGACATCTCTGCAGCATTCAATAACGTGGCCACAACCACAATAACAAGTCGCCTAGAAGCAAGTAACATACACCCAGCAATCAACCTTTGGATCAAGAACCTCCTAAGTTGTGGACGGGTGCAATCGGATTGGGGCACCGCTTCCATGGTAAAGGGCACACACAAAGGCACACCTCAGGGTGGAGTCCACTACTGTGGAATCTGGTGGTCGCACTACCCTAAGCACTACAACGTCAGTGCGGATCTATTGGGTTCCCAGCCACAAAGGCATCAAAGGAAACTAGGCGGCGGACGTACTAGCCAAGGAAGGCGTCGGGCTGGCGAATAGGAGAACCGAGAACTTGCCTGTCTCCCTTAGAATGCATCAAAGTGATCTGGAGAAGGAGGTCAGATCACAAACCGAAAGTAGGTGGAGCAACACCACCACCTGCAGAACCTCGAAAAGGTTGCAAGGACCGCAACGAGAAACTCAGCCACTACGTACTGCACTTACCACAAAAGGACTGTAGATTGTTAGTGGGAATTCTAACAGGTCACTGTCTGGCTGCTGCACATGCAACAAAGTTAGGCATCACCAACAGAGACAGTTGTAGGAAATGTGATGAACCTGGGGCAATCGAAACCCTGGAACATCTCATCTGCAACTGTCCGTCTCTCAAGGGCAAGGAGGAAATATCTGGGCGCCCCGGTGCTGGCATCGCTGGACGATGCCTCCAAGAGGACGCCACAGGAACTGCTGGCCTATGCTAAAAACACTTCGGGCTTTAAAACCACATAAACATTCCCGCGATGGTTCAAACAACATATTGATATGAAAATGCTACATATCTTAATAAGAAGACATTTGTATACATATATGCTATATATAATTTATGAATGTACGATATTTAAGTATTTTAACAGTTCTATATATTACCTTCTGTATTCTTTTGCGTGGCAGCCACATGTGCAAATTGGGATTGATTCGCAGAGCAAGTGAACTCGCATATGTGTCGAACTAAGTTAGACATACAAGATGGGCATCGATCTAGTATTGCAGCGGCTAATTTTACATTTTCATTTAGTATTTTCACCTAAAAGACAACAAAGTTAATGTTTATTTAATTTTATATAATATTTATGTGATTATTATTATGTATCATTGTCACGGTATGTGGTATGTGTGATTACGAAAGTTATAATATCTGCTAATTTTCTTTCTGCTGCTTGTGTCGCGTCCGTATGCTGCTGTTCCCTCTTTCGACTGCATTTTCCTTCCTCTCTGCTGGTACTGCTTATCAGCTGTTAATCTGCTGTTGATCCGCCGTTACTGCTGTTAACCACTGCTCTCTGATTGGGTCAGCTTTCCCACTCCTTTTTACATACATATATAATATATTAATATTTTTTATATTAAGACTAAAAATATGATTCATAAAAATAAACCACGTTTTCAACGTTGTAACATATTTTCGCCGCACGTTTGGCACTCAGAAGGTAGGATCTCTAAAAAATGATTTGACTTTAAAAACATAACAATATAAAAGTAAAACTTTTTGTGCATAATACCCGCCATTAATGCCAACTCGAATTCACCTGCAAAAGACATCCCTCCATTTTCACGAAAATCTTTTTGAGCGTTTCGAACTTTATGGCTTTTAAGCTTTTTGAACCGTTAAACGATGTGCCGAAGAAAAGTCGGTACCTCTCTTTGTAATTTACACACGTTTCCCATTGGTATGGGTTGGGCGCCGGTTTTCGCTTTAACAAAACTTTTCCAATATACTTCTGGGGCTCTTGTTATTACATTGCGCAAGATTTTTTCGTTTTCAAAACGAAAACATTTTCCTCAACGAAATGAAATTAACCAGCTTTTTATAAAAAAACAACTCTACATTTATTCCCGATACTTAGTCAGTATGGCTGCATTAAACGACAAAGAGTGCGTGCGAGAGAGACAGAAAATCAGTCAGAACGTCGACGGACGCTGCGTAGCCACTGCTAATTTATTTGTTTCTTTTGGCTATAATAATAATCCGATCTGATTCGGATTCGGCAAGATTCGGCAATCTGGTTGATATGGCCATTCTCTATGATTGTGTGTTTTTAATTTACTCCTATCTTTAAAATTGTGGTTGCCACAGATTTTCGTCTTTTGCATGGGCGCAAGGGGGTGGGCGAAATTTTGAAACACACTTGTAGCAGTGAGCTCTCTACAGTGAGCAACAAGAAATACACTTGTAACAGTGAGTTTTGCAGTGAAAAATTACAAATAGTTGTGTAGCAGTGAGAGCTCTACAGTCAGTTCTAAAAGTCTCTGAGATTAGTGGATGCCCAGATTTTCATCCTTCACGGGGGCGGAAGGTGTGGCGAAATTTTGAAACAAACTCGTCAAGGTCCGATATCACAGGAGTGTGGATGAAAAATTTGGTTGCTCTAGCTTTTATAGTCTCTGAGATCTAGGCGCTAATGTTTTGCGCTAAGCAAAGCCAGCTATGATACGTGTGTGTTCGAGAGAGACAGGGCGAGAAAAAATGATATTGTTTTCTTGATTCTGACTAAAATAATGATACGATCCAACTCAGATTCTGCAGTCTAGAAGAAGTCTCTACGATTCTGGTTTTCTCGTATCTTTGAAATTGTGGATGCCACAGATTTTCGCCCTTTGTGGGGGCGGAAGTGGGCGGGGTTTTGAAATATACTTGTAACAGTGACATATCACAGAAGTCCGGATAAAAAATGTCGTTACTCTAGCTCTTATAGTCTTTGAGCGTCCCCTTCAGCGCCTAGTGCTCAAAGACTATAAGAGCTAGAGCAACGATGTTTTGGATCCAGACTTCTGTGATATGTCACTGCTACAAGAATATTTAAAAACTTTGCCCCGCCCACTTCCGCCCCCACAAAAGGCGAAAATGTGTGGCATCCACAATTTTGACGATACGAGAAAACTAAAAACGCAGAATCGTAGAAGATGACTATATCTTCTAGAGTGCAAAATCTGAACCAGATCGAATAATTATTATAGCCAGAATCAAGAAAACAATTTCATTCTTTCTCGCTCTGTCTCTCTCTAACACACAGGTTTCATGGTCGGTTTTGCCAATTGCAAAATATGATTTCAAAGATCTCAGAACCCATAAGATCTAGAGCAACCAAATTTGGTATCCATACTCCTGTGATATCGGACCTTGACCGTTTTGTGTCCAAATTTCGCCACACCCCCTTCCGCCCCCGCAAAGGACGAAAATCTGAGGCATCCACAAATCTCAGAGAATATTAAGGCTAGAGTAACCAAATTTGGTACACACACTCCTTTAAGATGTCATTATAAAACGTATATCTCAAAATTTCGCCCCACCCCCTTCCGCCCCCACAAAGGACGAAAATCTGTTGCATCCACAATATTGCAGATTCGAGAAAACTAAAAACGCAGAATCACAGATAATGACCATATCTATCAAAAGGAACAAATCAATTTGCACTGGCTACGCAGCGCCCGACGTCACGCTCAGACTGATTTTCTGTCTCTCTCGCACGCACTCTTTGTCGTGTCGTTTAATTTTAGCGGCGTCTGCCGGAGGAGAGCCATACTGACTTAGTATCGGGTATAACTGTAGAGTTGCGGTATCCGCAGCAACTCACAACGTTCCCCCTCGTTTTTTAGATAGGGTGCACTTACTCTGTGCGGGTGTTACATTTCAGGGTGGGATAGTTGTCCTTAATCAAAGTCTTGTAATGTTGGTATGATCGATTAAATTTTTAGTAACTGCTTCACTACCTATTTGCTAACAGCTTTATTAATAATTTCACTATCATCGTTACTAACGGTATAACTAACAATTTTATCAATCTCTTTACTACGGTATCACTAGCAATTTCATCAATCTCTTTACTAATTGCGTCACTAACAATTGCATCAATCACTTTACTAACTGTTTCACTAACAATGACTATTTTACTGGCGTTTTCACAAAACGTTTCATTTTTTTCTATACTCATACGTTTACCCATTGTTTTAATTTGCATTTTATTACTTACAATCGGTATTGCTGAATAATTACATAATTGATTACTACCTTGCTCAGTTGTAGCGTCTAACGTAACCATTTTCAAAGTGTTTAGGTCCAAATTTAACTCGCATGCATTCATAAAACTACTGCCAAGAACCAAGACTCATAGACTCGTTCGATATCACGTTCAACTGAAAAAAAACATTCTATGTTATTCCTTCTTTCAAAACATAAAATAAAATGTTTCCAAATGTTTTCAATTGGCTTCGATTCAGTCCAAAATATGACACAGGAACTGGCTCCAAGATGGTTTTCGTAGTGATTAAACTATTCGTAACGAACAATATTGGACTCCCAGAGTCTATGAGGCATGCTGCACTTAATGGTGTTGCAATATTATTGCATAAGAAAATCTTACAGTATCTTACATAATTGTTGTTGATTAGGCTTTTTCTCTCAGTGCATTGTCCGACTAGGTGGCTAAATGCCCCATATGCGTAGCATGATCCAGGCACCCTTTTTGGATTGAAGCAGTCCTTGTCGAAATGACGTCGTGAGTTGTAGTTGGCGCAACATGGGGTTAAATGTTAGCTGCAGTATCTGCCGAGACTTGCGGTTGTGTGGCATACGGCTTCCGCTGCGGAAGACGGATTTGCGAGAATGCACGTAGAATTTCCTTCGTATCCGAGAACCACTGAATGCAAGCCTGATCTCGTGAGCCCGAAGCCGGAATTCCATCGATTATCTTTTCCTTCAACTCCTCTGTGTTTATGTTGATGTTTCTAGCCAGCATAATTATACCCGATACTCAAAATGAGTATTGGGGTATATTAGATTTGTGGTGAAAATGGATGTGTGTAACGTCCAGAAGCAATCGTTTCCGACCCCATAAAGTACATATATATATTCTTCATCATCATCAATAGCCGACTCGATTGAGCCCTGTCTGTCTGTCCGTCCCTATCAGCGCCCAGTGCTCAAAGACTACAAGAGCTAGAGCAACGACATTTTATATACGGACTTCTGTAATATGTCACTGTTACAAGAATGTTTCAAAACTTTGCCCAGCCCACTTCCGCCCCCACAAGGGGCGAAAATCTGGGGCATCCACAAATCTCAGAGACTATTAAGGCTAGAGTAACCAAATTTGGTATCCACACTCTTGTTTGATCTCACTATAAAACGTATATCTCAAAATTTGGCCCTGCCCCTTTCCGCCCCCTTAAAGGACGAAAATCTGTGGCATACACAATATTGAAGATTCGAGAAAACTAAAAACGCACGATGATAGAGAATGACAATATTACAAGATTGCCGAATCTGGATCAAATCGGATCATTTATATAGCCAAAAGGAACAAATCTATTTGCAGTGGTTACGCAGCGCCCGACGACACGTTCAGACTGATTTTCTGTCTTTCTCGCACGCACTCTTTGTCGTGTCGTTCAATATTAGCGGCGTCTGCCGAAGGAGAGCCATACTGACTAAGTATCGGGTATTAATGTACCAACGTTCCCCTTCGTTATATTTAGTATTACATTTTTTTCTTATATATATATTAGCTTTTTTTCTGTTACCTATCCATTGTTTTATCTTTTTGATACACCAAACACCTTGATACGGGTTACGGTATAATTGAAAACCTTCTACATCTTTTAACAAAAAATCTGTAATTTTTTAAATTTTAAATTGAAAGATCAGGCGATGCGACGGTACAATGAAAAACGGTACACATCGTTGTATGCGTGTGCAGCTGCGGGCTTTAGCTATACGTGTGATAACATTAGATCTATGTTTTGGACACGAGCAATACCAACACAGCTATGCGCGAACTTTGTGTTAGCAGGTGGCCAAGTGCGATGTGATTGGGAAAGCCACGGTGGTCCATTCCACCCCAGTTGATGTTCTACCAGATCCTTTGGTAGAAGTCCGCGTGATGCACGGCATTGTCCTCAGTGCGAATGTGTTGCCAGCAGCTACGTGGGCAAGCTTCCAGAATCCCAGCAGTGCGATTGCCAAACTAAGTGTTCCAGGTCCGTGGGGGTGATGAGAGCCAATGCAGTCCAATTTCTGAGTCGGACCAA